GGACCAAATATAACAATATAATCCTTAAAAGCAGTTTAAGATATACAAAAGACCAAGTAAAATGCATAATTAGTATAGGAAAAATAAACTGGACATTTATCTGATGGTAGATTAATAATGTCACATCTATATATCTATACAACTTTATTTTCCATGAAAGTAATAATACTGTATTTCTTTTAAGATGCTCAATAATCTAGACTGTTTGCTTTTTTTATTCGACTTTGTTCTTTGTAGTTATAGTCCCATTTAATAATGCTTGATTCTATTTAATTATAAAAATGCAGCGAATGTTCCCATTTTTCCTGTGATTTTCTAGTAGAACATACTTAAAAACATAAAATGTTGAAGTTATATTGTTAAATGCCCAATAGAAGAAACAAGGGACATAAAGTATGTCATTTCTAATCTCTGAAGCAGAAGACACCATATGTTTAAAAGGATACCAGATTCAGAGAGACACAAACTCTTCTGTGAACACTTGGTAACTTAATTCTATTTATTTTATACATTTTTATGGGAGGGTAATATTTGTGGCTGATTGAGTGTGGCAAAAGAATGAGCAAACTGTCGAAATTTACCAGCAAAAGATTAGCAAGCTAGTTAAAGATATCCTGGTTCGTGACTATTAGAAATTATTAAATATCATCATTAACATGGAAATAAATGATCAAATATTAATGATGATAGATTAAAAGTCACCAAAATCACTTAAAATCTAAACAGTATATCTTATTACATATTGCAACTTTTTCAAGCACTTAACTATCTGTCTTTAATAATTTATATTTGTAAATGTCTAATAATTTAAGTACACCTCATTATTATTACTTAAATTGCAAAATAATTTCAAGGTGTTGCAGTTTCTTCTCAGCGTATTTCTTGTTTGCAGTGAATTTAATTTAGCTTTATGCTTCTTTCTAATTATTATTTAGGTACTTAAAGTTAAGGTGAAATAATGCAGACACAGATGATGCAGATTCTCATTTCTTAATTTAGATCCTTCTAAAAAATACAAGAAATTCAAAAATAAAATGTAACTTTTTGTAATATGCCTCTTTTTACTATGTATTCTTATAAACCCTATTTCACATGATCATTACATTGCTCTATGTTATGCATCATGATAAAACAGCTTCTCAACATTTTTTTCTATGAAAGGGTAAAACTCATATAAAAGAAAAAACTCTCCTTTCTAAAATCTCAGAGAAAGTAAAGTATAAAACCAAAGGTCTTTAAGCTGATCTTTGATAGGCAACAAAGAGATTCAAAATCACTCTCTTGGGCTTCCCTGGTGGCGCAGTGGTTGAGAGCCCGCCTGCCGATGCAGGGGACGCGGGTTCGTGCCCCGGTCCGGGAAGGTCCCACATGCCGCGGACCGGCTGGGCCCGTGAGCCATGGCCGCTGAGCCTGCGCGTCCGGAGCCTGTGCTCCGCAACGGGAGAGGCCACAACAGTGAGAGGCCCACGTACCGCAAAGAAAAAAAAAAAAAAAAAAATCACTCTCTTAACTGCTTGGTAAGTAATTATAACTCAATATTTGTTAGGTATCTAAATATGTTTAGCACTGCACTAACCTGAAGGTGTAAAAAGTTAGAGAAGACAAGTCCTTCCTTCAAGGCTCTTACCATCTGGTTAGGAATCATAAACAACAACATAAGAAAGCAAATGACTGAAAACTTAGAACTTGAAAGGCAGGATGAAGATATAAAAATAGACAGGAATTTTGGCCAAGATTTCCTAGAGTAAGAAAGTATTCTTTAACTAAGTTTTGAGGTAGCAAGTTATGTGATTAACAAGTGTTGCCCATGGTCAGTCATTGTTATTGTTGTTATTACTACTTATTTCACAAATGTGAATGTTTCTTTTTCCTTTAAGGACAATGTTATTGAGTCGAAATATTTACTACTTTACCTAGGTTATCTATATAGCTCCAGGTATATACAGGAAGAATAACTTTTCAAACAGAGCTATGGTTACTCATGTTTATTAAATAAATCATTTATTAATTGATAAGAATGTTCCCCAAAGAACATTTGTCATCAAAGCATTACATCTCCCAGACAGAAGAGTAAAGTTCAGTCACTTTTTTTCTAAAATAATGAAGCTATAACAAACAATCTGAAGACATACTAATATTCATTAAATCAGCACCAACTGGAATGTTTTCCCCTTGAGACTGAGAAGTTGATATTCTCAATACCTAATAAAAATGGGGATGACTTCACCCAGTACTCTGTCTAAGCAGAAAACAAACACTGGGCCACAGAGATACCTACCAATTCCAGAGGACACCTTCAGAGACACTTTCAGGTCTGTGATAAACCTTTTGATAGTTAACAAATACCCATCCAATGGAACGAGAACACAGTATGAGGAATAAGAACTGAGCACCACAAAACATCCTGTCTTAGTTTAACTCCAACCCCAAACAACATATTTCCTAGCTTTGGAAAAGAAAAGATGTGAGAGTAATTCAGCTTGGTGACTCAAGTTCAAACCTATATTTGATCTGTTACCCTGTCACTGGAAACAGTACATGTGCTTCCTCTGCCTTTGTAATTGTTTATATTCCTGACCTTCCCTGACACCAAAAATAATTCACACTCCCACCCTTACCAGCCCTTCCTCACACACACACACAAAAGAGATTAAAAGTACAGTTTAACTTTGTGCATTCTTCCCATGCAAAGTTATAAAGCAAATTCATTAACTAAGATGTAACTATAAAGGCAAATTCTGCAAAAAGGCAAAAGATACATAATTATTTCTTTACCTTTTACCCTTAGTTTCTGCTAGTGTTGGTTATAGTTTCCTGATAATTCCAAAACACTTTGCACTGCCAGACATTTTTTCCTTGACCTCCCCTCTCAGAGAGTCAGCAGGAGGGGTAACAGGAGTCAAATTATTACTCCTCCCAAGTGAATGGGCCACAAACTCTTACAAAGGTGAAATAGTGGTGCCAAAATATGAAGTAACTTTGTAGTTATTCAGGTCATGAAGGCAGTAAGTAAACTAAGGAAAACTTCGTTAATCTCAGGAAATTTTCTCAACGCAGCCATGGAGTTACTATTTGAAAAATGTTTCTTTTGTTTTTATTTTTCCTTTATAAACATTATTAAAGCCACTAATAATTCCTATAGGTACAATAAGACCTTTATAAATATAGATTACTAATATCATGTACATAAGATCCTTGACCTACAGACTTCATGTGACCCATACCCATCCTCAACCCTGGCTCCCATTTAAATTCTCGGGGTTCTTACCCTGTAAATTATAATATACAGATAATGCATCAACTGATCTTGGAAAGGTCCTCCCTTTAAGTGGGGTCATGGAAACCTGCCTGAAGTCCTTAAAAGGTGACCTGAATCCAGGTAAAACAGTTCCAGTCTCAGCTCTGCCCCTTACTAGCTTATATTTGAACACATCAGCTAACACATCTTTACATCTCATTATTCTCACCTCTAAAATGAGAATAATTGCTTTGTCTACTCCCATAACCACCGATACCACTTTTAAGAACTATGATTTTTCTTAAAATTGCAAAAGCCAAAATGGGACAGCACACAGTTCTAACTCTCTGTGTGTCTCTGCTTTTTTTTTTTTCAATCTAAAAAACAAACAAAAAAAATAATGAAACTTCATATCGTGTTGCTGAGAATATTAATCGTGATAATGTACAAAGTACCTAGGATGCAAGAAGTATTTGATAAATGTCCCTTCCCTTCTCCACCAATTTTTCATTTCATAATGGGCAAATTCCATTTGAAATGTTGGCAATCCAAATCAGTACCATTTTACTGTCTCTCAGCTACCTCTTGACGCTATTCATATCTCTTGCCACATCACCTTCCTGTATTTCCTGGCCTTTTCTCTTTCAAAGGCCAAGGCCTTTTCCCATCTTCCTGACCTGAACCATCACTTTGTAGCCTACCAACGATGTCCCTCTGGCCAGCTTTAGCTACTCGGCTGAGCCTCAGTGACTCCGAGGCGGGACAGAGTTAAAGCAACTCCTGTCTGGGGCTGCTCACATCCAACCCAGACTCTTCCTGCTCATCCTCTTGGCTCTCTGGCCTCAGAACAGGGGGAGAAGCGACGGCAACACTGGAGTGATGACATGTGATTCTCTCCCTTCCCCACCCTTCACATTTTTCTTTCCACGTGCAGAACCCGGAAGGCTCTGACCGCTCTTGCCCTGGCGGTTGCCATGGTTACACAACAGCAGCACCAGACCCAGGAGGGGTCTCGTCCCGTCTCCTTTACCTCCCCCTCAACCCCTTCCATCCTTTAGTGAGCACGCCCCACCCCGCGCCCCCGCAGGGGAGGAGAACCTTTTCGGCTAAATTTGAGACTTTCAGTTCCCGCCCCCTCTTTTTCTCTTGCAGACACCACTGACAAGCTAAGGGAGGATGGGAGGGGCTTTGGTGGGGAAAGAAGAGCTCTCGTTGAGACATTTGCCTTTCATTACGGCTTCGCTCGGGGCTAAACGGCGAAAAGTTCGCCTATTTAACTCCAATCTCCGTAACTCGAAATTGGGGACCTCAGCGGCCCCAGCCGCTGGCTGCGCAGCTCCCGTCCAGTCCCCTCGAGTCCAGCCTGGTGGCGGGAGCGCGGCGCCTCCTCCTCCTCCTGTCAAGTACCCCCTGCGCGCTGGGACGGAAGCAAAGCAACTCAGTCCACGAGGTTGAACTCAAGTCGTGAGGGAAGGAAAATGAGCCGGTGCCGAAAACGGCCCGGGCGCTGCCAGGGCGGCCCATTAACGCGTCAACTCCAGGCGCGTGATGAGGGAGCAGGGGGGAAACACCGGCGGGGTTAAATCCACCCGGTTAAATTCCCAGCAGGAGTCAAATCCGGGCCTTTTCGGAGCGAGCCAAGCCGAGAGTACGGAGGGATGCCCGGCCCCCACAAGAGTACGTTTTGCAGGAGCCGCCTTTCCCAGTCAGCCAGCTCTGAGGCTGGTGTCTGCTTCCAACTTTGCCCTCAGAGTCTGGGAGGATGCACGCTCCCGTCAGACGGAGCGTCGCGGTTCCCTCACAGGGAAAAAGGCGTTGCCCATCCCTCCCCAAAAGCACCACAACACAAACAGCCGCCACGGTCTCCCCGTCCCCTCCCCCCAGCCCGTCCGGAAAAGGAGCGAGTGAGGGCGCAGACGCCCTTGGTCAAATCCTCGTGAGACTGTCCTCACCGACGCGTCTGCGAATGAACCTGCAGCCAGAGGAGCCACGGGGCACGTTCAGACGCGCTCGCGGCCGCCGGGGCCCTGGAGGGGGCGAGAGAGAGCGCGAAGTTCCCGGGCGCGTCTCGGGAGGAAAACTTTGCGCGGTGCGGAAAGCTCGGGCTGAGGAAGCGGCGGCGGCGAGCGGAGACTGCGCCCGCCGCCACGCTGTCCCCGCGCCGCGCTCCCGGACCGTCAGCGCCTCGGCGCCCAGTTCTCCGTCTGGCCCCCCCGCGTGCCCCCTCCCGTCAGCTCCGGAGCGCTCTTTCCGCCCCAGAACGTTGCCTTATCTCCCGGCCGCTCGGCATTCGCACTTCGGACCCACGACCACCCCCAAAATCCAGTCACCCCTACTGGCCACCGCGGTCCTCCCACCGGAGCAGCAGGTGACCCGAAACCAGCCTTACCTGCCGCGAACTCTTCTCGCCCTCTCTCTGTGCCCGCTGTCTTTTCCGGGAGAGAGGAAGGGGATGCAGGCGGTGGGCGTGCGAGGCGGCGACCCGGGACACCGGCGCGACCTCCTCTGAGCGGCAGCCCTGGCTGAGCCGCGGAGCCGCCGGCGGCCCTGACGGAGCGTAGAGGCTGCGGCCGCAGAGGCCAGGCCGGGAGGCAGGGGGCGCTGCTGCCCCCCGAGCGCCCTGCCGGGAGCGGCGCGGAGCCAGGCACCAGCTGGAGCTGTGGGGAGGCGAGGGTGGCGAGGAAAGGCACGCTCGGAGCGGGAGGGCGGCTTTTAAGTTTGTGGTGTGACCGCAGCAGCTGTCCCGGGAGAGACTCAGTCTTTCTAAAAAGGGGATGCTCAGAACGCCGGGGATTACCTCTCCCCTTCCGATCTCCTCCCCCAGCCCTCGGCCCCCCTTCCCTGTGCGCACGCCAGTCCTCCCCAGCGTGCAAAAGTCCATCCCAGTCGGCGCGCGGGCTGTCAGCAGCGTGGATTAAATGTAGCTCCGGCCGCGCTGGGGGATGTTTTTCCGGACAGGGCACTCTGTATGTAAAGGAATTTCTGACGTTTGAGCCCGCGCCCGGGTGGCTTTGGGGCCTGTTTATTCTATACCATAACGTCTCCAAGGACTGCCTGCTGAAAAAACAGGACAAACACTGTCTCAAAAACTCTAAGCCTCAAAAAGAGGAGCTGTGTTCCAGTATGTAAAACCCCGATCCACTGTTACTGGCCTCGAAAGAGCAGGTGTTGAGGATGAGCGACAGAGATCAGCCCTCCACTACGGGGCTGGCACCGAGGAAGGACCAAGCAGGAGGCCAACAGAAAACAAACACACACACACACACACACAAAATGTAAGTCTTTTTTCCTCTCTACCTCATACCAGGCCAGCAGGGTTACGTCACTTATTCCTGTGTTAGATTTCCTTGTAGATTTGTACACACCTTGGTCACGCAATAGAAAGCTTGGAAGTATATGGGGACCAGGGTGGATCCACATTTTGTGGAGCCTGGAACTCACACTATTTGGAGGTGGGATCCTCTTGAAAAAACTAATACGGAAATAGCTTAATTCTACAGATTTTAGAAAAACATATGACATATGAATTCATTGTCTGGCTGACCACAGGGACATGGAAAGGGCCTCTGCAAGGGATGAGTCCTGAACTAGGGCCTTATTGGCTACATGGTAAATCCTTGTATGATTGAAACTCTAGGTCTGTGGTCACACACCTTGCACCTATTAGTCCCAAACATAAAACTAACTTGGGGTGGAGCCATAGAAAAAAGCAGCCATGGGGTCCTGCGTTTGCCAGGTTGACTTAAGAGCACAGCTCATAAGGTCCCAGAGTTCCCTTGGCAAATGACCAGGGGGGTTTCGCTTTGGGGGCAGTGAGCAGACAGTGGCAACAATGGAAGAACTGGTCTGGGAGAGGAGACTCTTCATTCAGCCTTCCCTCTGCAGCAGAGAGCTGAGGGCCACCAAAGCTAAATGAGTCATTTTAAGTTACAGATGGCTGGTGGCAGAGCCAGCTCAGGCAGGACTCAAGTTTCCTAACTCTGACCAAGTTTCTTTCCTGTGTCTCATACTGCCCCATCACTGTAACCTTGGTTTTGACTGTCAACCAACCAACCCCATAATTTTCCTCTTTGGATACAGGACAATTTAAAGCCCTACAGACTATTCCAATCTATAGCCACATTTTTTCTGAATGCTTTATATTCAGTGTTATACCACTCATTTTATGATTAACCACACACTTGATGTGTTTGTTGCATTTTAAAATATTTTTATATTATTTTTATTTGTTTATTCCATTGCCCCCAGTCCAAATCGCAAGCTCATTGTGAGGGGAAAATACCTCTTTTGTCTCCCAGAGCATAGCTTAGGGTTTTGCACATGGTGGGTTCATGATAAGTACTTTTAGATTTTTACTCTATTTATTAATTTTCTAATAATTTTGTCAGTTTATTGGCCAGAATATTGTATTTAATTAGAGTTGTGGTTAACTCTGGATTTCCCCTTTTTCCTTCCTGTCTAAAATCCTAGCTTAATATACTCAAGGCAAATGACATCTCCCTTTTGCTACTGTCTCAGGCTTTTCCACAAAGCCCCTGCAGGATTAATCACTCCCTCATGTTTTTCCAAAGCACTTTGATTTCACTACTAAATAAGTCCCTTTCATGTTATATCATAATAAATTACGCATTTGTCTGCATCCCATACAGGCGTATTGCCTGTTTTGTGTTCTTGTTTCCCCAGCTCCTAAAACAGTGCCTATGAATTTGTATTGAACTGATTTGGTTTGAAGTATCCTGACTTCAAATTTAGACTGTATTTACTAGGGCATCCTGAACATACCATGAGAAGAACATCTGGAAACTGGGTTCTGTGCCTTCTTTCCTTTTAATTACTCTGAGCACGCAGCAGGCAGAGTCAAACACAGCTCAGTTGTGATGAATGGCCTCAGCTGTGTCCAGGGCTTTGTAATCCTCGTGATACTTCTCTGAGTATCTTGCATATGGTGGGTGTTTAACAAATATTTGGGGGTTAAATGAATTAATGGAAACAGTGGATGTGATAACAATAATTAGTCACTGAATTATTTCTGAAATTTCTGCTAACTCTACAGGATCCCACCAGTATGGTTTTATAACCCTTTTTAAGAGTTTGAAATTTACTGTTACCAAAAGCAATTTGGTAAAATCTGTCCTACAGTGCTGCTTAATACACTATCTGAATCCTTGAAATAACACCCAGTAGGAAAGGTCTATTTTACTTTAAGTTTTGTTAAAATGTAATGTGTATTATACAGTTTAGCTTATCTTCAAGGGTGACTATTCAAGATTCAGTAAATAATCCTTAATTACACTGAAAGAGATGTGTGTATCATCAGTTAGAACTACCTAATTGTTGCTGCTATGCCTGTTCTGGTCTGAGGGGTAAAAAAGAAAGAAAAAGGAAACACAAAATACTTCCCAGGTGCTTGGAAACATTGTTGAATGAGTAAACTTGTCTTGAGGGTCCAGGTTCTTCCTCTGTGGCATACTACCCCTCACTCATCTTCATTTAGGGCTCACAGATTGAATGTAAGTCATTCTTACTGTATGGTAGTAGATTTATGTTAGATAATATGAAATACACTGTTTCTCAAAGTATTACATTGTTATACTGAGTGAAGCCAAGGAATAAATTTCTGATTGTAGAATTTCAGGAATCATCAATCTATGTTGGGAGCCATAAAGGAAGGTAGCAGGGATGGGAAAGAGTAGAATAGTTATATTCTAGGCTTTTCCAACTCCACATATAGCTACCTCTGCCCAGAAGACAAGAGAAAGGTAATTACTGGGTCCAGAATTTAAATCTAGCAGGATCTCAGAGGACTTGACTACACTTTCTGCAGAAGGTGCTTTTCCATGCAGTCTTCCATTCACAAAGCATATGGAAATTTGGTGAATTTAAAAGGAAAAAAAAAGAAAAAAAGACAGATAAAAGGGATCGCAAAGTTCTGTGCACAGAGACAAGAAAACGGAGATGAAACCCAAGCCGTTTAGTGTTCACTTCTATAAAACTAATCATACCTTGGTCGGACATAAAACCTCTCTGCCTTATAATAAATACTACCTTATGAATGTTTTCTCACATATTAACATAACAGTACCAACAGATAAAAATGTTGTTATACTCATATGACAAAACTGGGATATATGTTAGTTTATGTCTGATTGAAACAAGTGATGGCATGAGTTGAAAGCAGCCTACCCACCTCCTACTCTTCTATCAGATATTTTCCCCTTATAAACTGCAGATTTTTTTTCCCCATCTGATTCATTTGATCATGACAATTCACTCATCACTTGATCACTAGCTAGTTACATATTAAGATAATTATATCATGTTTAGTAGTGGAAAAGAACACTCCTGACTTTTGTCTTTAATGCAGTATTAATTATACATGCATAGAACTCTCAGAAGTAAATGGATCCCTGTTTCTCATCATCAAATAAAGACAGAAGATAGTTTAGGTTAGTTAATCGGAATGTGAAATTGTAATGTCTTTGTGTTTTAAACTCTTATAACATCATAAATAATCATAAACTGTCAGAGTTAGGAGAGACCTCAGAGCCCTTCTGGCCCTCATGTTATACATGAGGAAAAGAAGGCCAAGAAGGTGGAGTGATCACCTAGCTCCTTCTGACTCCTGCCTCAATGCCCTCTGCAAAATAGCACCCTGCTATAGAGCCTTTTCTTGAAAAAGAAAAAAGAAAAAGAAAAAAAAAATCAGCTATTTTTCAAAACCTTTCCAAGCCAGAATCTTAAGGTTATATTTACTTAGCTGGGTTGGGGTGTGGTGAATAATTAAATTCAGCAGGAATGCACTTCAAAATAAAAATAAAAACATAGCCCAACCCCTTTGGCCCAAGTCCTGAGACCTCAGAAGAGAGCACCTCCTTGACTATGAACATTCACTAGAGGCTGGAAAGGCTTTTTGTATCTGATATAGGACTCCACAGAGTTATTGCAGAATGGGGGAGTTTAAAATCAAATAAATGACTCTGTTTCTTATTTTTAACAATGTTCTTATAGCAACAAACCATCCCCAAGGAAAGATTTTAAGGAAAAGTAAACAACTTTTCTATATATCATATAAGAGAAAAAATCTTTAAATTTCCTTTTCTTAATACCTCGTACCACCACGCCACCCTTAGAACATGCTTTAGACACAGTGTATTCTTCTAAGAAAATGGGAGAGGGGGAGGGCTTTCTATGGTACCTAAATGAGGCAAGCCTTATTTAAGGGTGATGAAACCAAGAAAAATATGCCCTCTTGTGGCTTATTTGTTCTAGTTCACAACTAATCAACAGTGCTCCATTATTTCCTGAAACTCAAACATACCTATATTCCAAGTGGAATTAAACTATTCCTTTGTGCAGTAACTAGAGAGAACAGGTCTGTGCAGACAGCAGGAAGGCATTCCAAGACTTCTGCTTTGTTCAAGGTCATAAGCAGCAGCTTAGCCACAATGAAATCAGTATCCCTCAAAACGGGGGAAGATTTTCCAAAATAACCCACAGATTCTTACAGATATTATAAAAATACCTTCCAAATAAATGCATTAGATAGAATTTCTTTCCTAAATACTGAGGTTTATGTTGGACAAACTTAAACCATCAGTTTCCACAAATAGGAGAAAATTCATGATTTCCTTTCCTACCGTATTTATGCCTCTAAGATTTCTTTAGCTGTGGGATGATGCCTATTTTTCCATTAAAAAAGTAAAATGTGTAATAAAGCAGTTAAGAGAATCCTGATTTTCATTCTCTTCATATGTTTTCTCTCCTTCCTCTTGTTTCTTCAGAAATAAAAATATCACAAATGTGTTACATCCTATGATTTACAGGTATAATTAATTTCACTACAAAAAAAAAATGCCCACCACGTTGTCCTAAAACAGCAGAATGGAGATGGGCTTAATGGGAAATGACCTCTGCTGATCAAGGGAGTGACTTTCATGTAACTGTCATTTAAATAACTTAGTAACTAAGTGAATGTCAAAGGTTTAAAACAGGCCAGAATGCTAAATCCTTAGTCCAACCCTATAGTAATAATATTAATAATTATGATTAACACTGTTATTATTTTATATACAAAAAATGACTTAAATCACACATTTTCCATTTGACTGGATCTGCTTGTGTATTAGTTAGGCTGGTGGGCCATTTCCTAATCTGCAGGCTTACTTTAGCAAGTTGCTGCTGAAATAGACTGAATTGTATCTCACTTACCAGAAGGAATAAATACAGCTTTCCAAAATGCCCAGTTTAGCATGGAGCTATTGTTTTTCTAAATTAC